GCGGGGGCGAGGAGAGGCAGCCGTTTGCGGGGGCGGCGGTGGGCGTGGTCGCGAGCAGCGCGGTGCGGGCGGGCGTGGCCGCGCCGCGACCCTCGTGGGCTAGCTCCGACTACGCCCCGCGCGACCCCTGCTAGTATGTCCCCTCGAGGTGGAAACAGCGATGTGGGCGTTAACGCGCTCGTCGGCTCCGTGTTCAGTTTATAGGTTTCGTCAAGACGCTAATATATCTGTTTCTTAAATTTTCGAACTCATGTAGCGAGGGGATTTTAGAAACAGCGGATTTTAGAAGTAAGATGGCATCAGTGTATTGAAAACAACTGAAATCAGCCCCAAATGTAAAATGTGCAGGCATATCTCGAAAATGCGGATTCTGTAATTATAATACAGGAGAAGTCGATTTTAGAATTGACTATCAAAAATAAAATTCCCCATGGAATTCTATTGATAAAATTTGTCTTTTTGATACGCCCACAAGAAAAGATCGTGATTGTAATGACCATTGAGAAAGTATGAAACCCAATTCTTTTCGCAAATACATTCTTTTCCCAGGAAATGTGGTGTTTTCCTGGGTGTTGGAGTTAACGTTACATTCTCTTGCTTATTTTTGTTTGGTTACAATGTTCTCGATTTGTAGAATATGCTTGCCCCAGGTTGTTTTCGTATCTCTCGAGAGTGAATTACGGTCCTCTTAAGCTCCATTCAGTCACGAAAATTTCATAAGATTTTCGTAGTAGTGCATTCCTTTTCTGAAGTCCTAATTCTGTAATATTTGTTGTTTTGACGATTTACGGTAATACCTTCTGAAACAGCCACCATCAATTTTAATATTTTTTTGTGTGAACTAGTGTTTTTCCATTAGTCTTGTAAATTTTTCCTTATTTAACACTTCATCTTTCGGCGACCACGCAGATTTAGTAGATTGATCTGTATTAATACGTAAGTAATTAGTGCAAATTCGTTACGATTTTCAGCCTAAACATGTAAGAAGACGAAGCTCTGTGTTAACAACCACTATTCGTCGGAACCAAGACTAATCGCTTAAGATAGGGCTCACTATACTTTTTTCCCCTTCAAAACTAAACACGGCAGGTGCCTTCCCTGACAGCCTTATCTCGGATTTTCGTCGCTTCTCGTGCATTCCGCCCCTCACATGTGCCAGACACCAACCCTAGATGCCTGACAGTGAGAAAGCGTGAAGCCGTCTCCCCGGGTTTTGGTAAATCCTGTCACCCCTGGCACGCCATTCACTGCTTGAGGACCCGAAGCGCCCCCACCCTCTGCGGCAACAACCCTCTGCAGTCTGCACCCTGTCCCTCGTGCGCCATCTTCATTTCCGACCCAGCCTCCATCTGGGCCCCGCCCACCGCAGCTCCCCTCGCCGATCCTCAGCCCGACGAAGCTCGCGGACGAGTGCGACCCGGCTGCAGCCGGCTGGCGCAGACACTGTCGCCTGTGTATAATAAATACGCTTTAAAATGCGTGAATGAATGAATGAATAAATAAATAAATAGAACAGAGCCGTGCACGCGGGTGGTCCGAATAAGCGTTGAGAGCTAATAATAGCCCAATATTAGAAATTTCATCAAAATATAGCCCTTTAAGGGTGGCGTAGTTGATAGGTTTTCAGTAAAGTGCATTAGACGCCTGAAGATCAACAACCAGTGCTTGATTTATAAAAGTTTAGGTCCCGGAAAGCGCCCCCTCCCCCAAATTAATTATTTATTTAAGAGAAATAATTACATATTTATAATATAATTTAAGGATTATTCTGGAGGTACCAGTAAGCCGTTCCGTCTGAACACAACAACTGACAACTCAGACAACAACAAAAATGGCAATCTGGTTATTAAATATGCTCTTTCGATTTTTCGACTTTATTGTTCATTGTTTCGCCAATCAAATGCGAATTTATTGATTGATTGTATTATTTTTGTTGTTCCATGTATTAGAGGTTATTCATCTTTAGAGCTTTTAGTAGGAAGTATTATAAATGTATTTAAAAATAGTATTATAAATGTTTATTTGAAACGATGGCGAGGGAAGGTGTACCGAATGACTTGCATCTGGAACATGTGCTAAGATTATTTTTTCTTTTGCAGGTGAGTTCCTTGTGGTTTCTGAATGGAACTGGAGATTTCTTCTACTGAATGGAATGAAACATCTGTCACTGAAAGGGAAACTAAACAGCTGTCATCGCACTTGCACCATTGAGAAAACGTAAGCTTTTTCGTCTGCCACTAACGTAAGTGTAGCTGTCTTCTTAATGGTTTTCGAAGACCTTTTATTAAGTTGCAATCATTATTTCAGTGAGCGGTTTATCTGCGAAAAGCGTCGCATATTAATATGAAGAAGTCTGAACCCAAATTAATCCTAAAAATCTGTAAGAAATTTAAAACTGGATTGAGGATATTTGAAACAAAAATTCATATTACTGGAAACGAATAGAACGCTTAAACGCTTTTTTAACACTACGTAAAAACAAGTTTAGATCTGAAAAGTATCCGTTCTTTAACTTTTAGTAACCTGTTCATTCTCTCGGCGATTATAAAAACGGTATAGAATTGTGATTCGCATGACCGGAGAAATACAGGCGATGGATATTTTTCAGCTGACAAGAACAATGACTTATGAATCCACATTCGTGTGGTGTTGGTGAAATTTGCGCAAAAGGAACAGCTTTACATCCCTCCTAGATTATTCTGCTGATATTACAGAAAATCATTTTTCCACTTTTGTTATTTTCCCAACTACTGTTTTACGTGGAAATTGTGCATACAAGTTGTAATCGTAGGCTTCCGCGGCCGGAGTCATTAAATACTTGGCTGTTCGCGTCTCAGTCGATTGAGCTGACGTTTCGGCCATCGTATTGTGACCTTCTTCAGAGCTATGCTGAAATGTACAAGTTTTTAAATTTAATTTACCATTTAACACGCACGTGAAGATATTACATTTAATATTCTTTGCGGTACCGTAACGTGTTCGTAATATCC